AGATAAGGTGATATCAGGATGACTACTTTGGCACAGGGGCAAGTCAGGCTGATTAAGATAAAATCACCTTCTCTGGGTGGCCTTTCCTAAGCATCCTATCTAAAATCACGGACTGGGAGGGATGAGGCCCAGGGAAAGAGCATAGGCCCAGAGGTGGGAGGTCCTGGGGTCAAACCTCTGCATACTCCACCAACCTGCCGCCCTTGCCCTGGTCTCATTTCCCTGTCTTGTTTCTCCACACAGCCTCTGACAAATGGTACCTTTTCATTGCTTCCTTACACTACAGTGTAAGCTCGCTGATGGCTGGGATGTTTTTAATGCTTTGCTCGTTGCTCTTCCCAATACCTCCAATACAAACGCTACAGAGGCTTTCAAGACTATTTGCTGAGCTGGGTGTGGTGATGAACACCATCAGTCCCAGTATTCTAAAAGACTGAGGCAGGAGGATCTTTTAAAGAGTTCAAGGCCAGCCTGGATTACACAGTGGGATCCAGACCAGCTTGGACTGTAGTGACACCCAAAAACTTTTTATTAAATGAATAAGTAACACTGAAATTTACCAGGTAACATACATTATTTCCTGAACATGCCAAATATTATGAAGAGCAGAAATTCTACACAATCACACTCACTGAGAACTGTAACAATAGTTTGTCTTTAAAAATGCCTTAAAATCTTGCTATTTTCTTTATGTCAGTTCTGGAAACTTTCTACTTGTTTCTTCCTCAGATAATGCTTTTCCTCCATTCTTTTTTTTTTTTAATGAGAGTTCAAAAGTGCACTAAATTCGAAATGTTTTACTGTTTAGTTTTGTTAATGCCCTCTGTACTGTGCCTAGTGCTCCAGGTCACCCGGGTACAGTGGCACACACCTGTAGTCCCAGCACTCTGGGAGGCTGAAGCAAGAGGGTTATAAAGGCAAGCTGAGCCTGGGCATTTTAGTGACAGTGAGACCTTTTCTCAAAATATAAAAGGGGCTGAATGTTTTAGGTTCTATCCGCAGTACTGCAAATAAAATAAAAAGAGTGAGTCCCAGGTCACACTTATTAAGATGGTTTAGCATTCATGGGTAAACAGAGCAATAAGAAAGGCTTTTTTCTGTCACTAGTCAACACCCACAGAAGTCCTCCAAGTGACCCTGGTGCCACAAATGTTGAGGATGTTTAGGAAGAAAGGATCCTAGAAGAAGATAATTCTTTCACCAATCCCCACATAAGAATGGTTCTCCAAATTCTACAGACCTTTTTTTCTAATTCAAATCCCTTAACAAAGCCATTCTTAACATGTACTGGAAATCTCAGCTGAAGAAACAGTATGATTACATAATTACACATACAGGAAAATCCTAGTACTCTATTATCCATCTTCTCCAAACATTTTTAAACTAAAGCTAGACTTAAAAGAGTTTTTGTTGAAAAATGTTTTTTCTGTGAGGCTGGCTTAAGAGAAAGAAA